TGTTCTCGTTTAGCAATGGATCAACATGGATATCTTTATGTTTCTGATTGGAAGAAGAATGAAGTTAGACGATGGAAAATGGGAAAATACAACAACGAAGGAATTGTAGTGGCAGGTGGAAATGGACAAGGAAAACAACTCAATCAACTCAATGATCCTGGTTTTATCTTTGTTGATCAAGATCAATCTGTTTATGTATCAGATAGAGAGAACCATCGTGTAATGAAATGGAGAAAAGGTGCAAAAACAGGAAGAATTGTGGCTGGAGGAAATGGTGAAGGAGAAAATCTCAATCAATTGTCTCAACCTGAAGGCGTATTTGTTGATAATTTAGACCAAATCTATGTGGCAGATTATGAGAATCATCGAATAATGCGTTGGTGTGAAGGATATGAAGAAGGTGAAATTGTTGTTGGTGGAAATGGTCAAGGAAATCAATTATATCAATTGTATTATCCTCGCGGTTTATCTTTTGATGATGAAGGAAATCTCTATATTGTTGATTGTTACAATTATCGAATTCAAAAATTTGAACTAATTTTGTGAATGAAATGTTGATTTTGAAGAAATGGAAAAGAAATATTTTAATAAGAAAAAACAAAGAAAACTGTTTTTGATTGTTTTTCTCTAAAATCGAATTAGTTTGTTTTTTGAAATAATACGAAAAATGAATGAAAAAGAGTAATACACAATAACTATTTTGAGAATGAAAGTGATGATTATGATGATGAAAGCGAACATGATAATGCAGTTTAGTGGATAAAAGATTGATATATCATCCATCTGGTCGATAAAGTTGTACGTGTAAAACTATGTTTAGTCTTTACTTATATTCAAATCTACATCAAAAGCTGTTTGGTTTTTTTTAAACTAAGATAAAATCGATTCCCTACTTTAATTCAACCATCTTAGATATTATATCAGTTTTATCAGTGGGATCTTGTCACAATTAGTAATTATTGACAGAAAACAATTCTTTTTCAATTTTTTCTACTACTGAGCAATGTTTTTATTATCGTTAATTCATTTAGTTTATATTCATGTTATAGTCAAAATTGAAATTTGGCTAGTCGAAATTGAAATTTCAATTCTGACTAGTCAAAAATAGAAATTCAATTTTGACTACAACATTTATAAAAGCAGATAAGTATATATTCATTTCTTCTATCAACTTCTATTCAAAGACATGGCAATGGCAAATAACATATCCTTGTAAAGGATGTTCAAAAGAATTTTGTTTAGTGGATTTAACAGAACTTCGTCCAATAGGGTGTGTGAAGGTGTGGGTGTGGATGTGGATGAATAACTAAGAACATCCATCCACACCCAAACACACCCGCACCCAACAGCTCGAAATACTCAAAGAAGGAAACTTTTTACAAAAATACTTATTGCGCACAGAGAAATAAAGAACGTGATTAAAAGTGAGTCCTGACAAAGCAGATTATTTAACAGAGTCAAATAAAAATATATCAAACTGATCATGACTTATTCATTGACGTTAATCATTCATTGACGATGATAGTTGATATCTTATTTTCAGTTAAAACACGTCCGATAATTAACATAGATTTTGATCAATTTTTCTTTCACTTTATCACGTTCTTCCTCGCTAAAATCAAAGATTTTCTATAAAATCAAAGAAAGAGAAAAAGATCATATCGAGTTTAAATTCCATTCTGTGTTTTCGAATTTGGAAAGGAATGAAATTGGATTAAAAATATGAAATAAAATCATGAATTTTGTTCATTAATCTAGTCTAAAATCAATTTTTTATCTTATCTAGGATGGACAAAACCTTCTCTAAAACACTATTTTTTATCTTTGTGTGTTATGATGGGAGAAATGAATGAGAGAAAAAGAGAGATGTATAACTAGAGAGAAAATCTACAACGAGTGTCATTTTGTTTTCATCAAAGATAAAGAAGAAGAAGAAGAAGAAGATTATTTTATTAGTTAGCTAATTTATCAAAACAAATCTTGTTGAATGATGTTGAATATCTACATATTTATCATTGTTCTTCTGTTTATTCTCAATAATGAAACATCAGGTAAATACTTTTATTTATCATACAGTGAACATCAGCTATTGCACAAAAATGACAGTATTGGTTAGAGTTTTAGTTAAACAAAAGGGAGTGAAATAATAGATTGTAGTATTTGATAGGAATTTCTGTTATATATTCAAAAATGACGGTTCTCATCTCTTGCAACGGCTATGCGAGACTTTTTGTGATTTGAAGAATGATTGTACTTTAAATTTAAAAGTATAACTTGGAATACTGATTGATAGTATTGCACATATCTGAGTTTGTATAAATTGATAGTTTCAAAACGATTGAAAACTTGAACATGACTGAAATCTTCTCTCGATATCAACTTTATTTTTAGATCTTGAGACGAGAATGAGACACAAGAGAGAGGAAAGAAATCTATTTCATCATATCACATTATAATATATGGAAAAAGAATTAATTGACTTTTCCAGATGAAATCAAAACGAAACAAACAGATGATGAACAGGTTAATGTAAATGAAAACAAAGTTTTGTGAAATTATTTAACTACGTGGTTTCATTTGAAATAAGATGCAGATCCATTTATTCCATACAGATCACCATCTCCATTATATAAAAAATACTATGACTGATAAAATAATTCTATTGTGTTTGATGTAATCAAAGAGTTTTATATATAAAAATAGAAGTGAGAGCTATGAAGTTAGTTGATCATTCACTTCTATATCTATATATTATTTACCCTTATAGAAAATGAAAAGGATTTAAAACTTTTGAACTACATAAAAGCAAAGAATCTTTTTTGGAATATATGAAATTATTTCGTAGAAATGAATTTGATTGATCAATGAAATGATACATATTCTTTATAGACACTTTCGAGACAGAATTACTTATGACAAAATATTAACTTTTAAGCTGTAGAAATAAATACATCTGCTAGAAAGAAAGAAAAAGCACAAATCATATGATAATGTAGACCTGCTTTGCGAGTACAAATTCATGATTGATACTACTATTTTTATTACTAGACTATCATAAAAGAATATTGTTAAGTAAGACAATATTTGAATCATAGGTCAAATACATTGAAGTTTTTCTTATGTTTAAAAGGAATCGATGATTATTGAGTTTTTTTTTCTGAAAATATTCAAGCTGAAATAATGAGAAACAGAAAAAAAGAAGACGAAATGTTTGATTAAGTTTAATTATTATTTGACAAAAAAGTTAAAGGTAATTGATTTTGCTCAATATAAGTTTAGTACAAATTGATTTCAAATTTGTTTTATTTAATTTGATGAGAATTTGAATGAAATAAAAATATATTATTGATAAGAAAAAAAGAATATTTTCGTCTTTATTTTTATCTTAAAATATTTTTTTTAAATAATTCCTTCGAATGATTATTTAATTACAGATTAGTAAAAAAATTTTCTCCTCTCTTTCACATATTAGATTCAATTGAAATGATTTAAGATTAACAAATTCACAATGTTTTTCGTATGAAAATGAGAATTGATTTTGAATTCGAAAGACATTTTATTTAGATCTTAATCAATTTCAATAAAGTAATTTTCATTCTAAACAGTTTTTTCCTCCTTCGAATTTATTTTTCAAGGATCGAGCAGAATTATTTTTCTTTCACAATAAAACAAATCAATAAATTATGTTGATCTTCTTCGATAAATTTAGCTCTCTCTTGGTTGATATTTTGCAAATCATCCGAGAAAATAGAACAACATTCATAGAAATGTTTTCAAAATTAATCGCAATGAATGTTTCTAAGAAACAACATAAATTAACAATTTCATTCTGTTTACAGTTCTTCTCTAATATTATTTTATATTTTTTTCGTTTTTAGCTCTTTCGTACAATCAGCCAAAGTTTTCTCCAACACCCATTTGGAATTCCAATGGAATTACTTTGGCTAATCGATCGATTATTGGTCGATATCCTACTTCCCTTTTTGTGAGCACAAACAACACAATCTATGTTGCTAATCAAGAAGACAGCACAATTGTAATATGGCATGAAGATAGTGTCAATCCAACAAAGATAATTCACGGTAATTTTATAGAACCCTTTTCTCTCTTCGTGACATCAAATGGTGATGTTTATATTGATGATGGTGATTATAAAAGTGGTCGAGTACAGAGATGGAGTGCAGAAACAAATACGTTTGTCACGGTGATGAATGTCAACTCATCATGTTGGGGTTTGTTTGTCGATATCAGTAACACTCTTTACTGTTCAATGCCTGATCATCATCAAGTAGTGAAAAGATCATTAAATGATTCTGTGATGAATTCAAATCGTATTGCTGCTGGAACAGGTATTAACGGATTAGCCTCGAATCAACTGGGACGTCCTTTTGGAATTTTTGTCGATGTGAATTTGGATTTATATGTGGCAGATTGTGTAAATGATCGAGTTCAGTTGTTTCAGTCGGGAGAACTAAGTGGTATCACAGTGGCTGGAATTGAATCACTAAATCCAACAATTACACTTGATTGTCCAAGCGGAATTATATTAGATGCTGAGAAATATTTATTCATTGTAGATCACTATGATTATCGAATTGTTGGTTCAGGCTTGAATGGTTTTCGATGTTTAGTTGGATGCTATGGAATGGGTTACCAATCTAATCAATTGGATAAGCCATTTAGTTTAAGTTTCGATCATTCTGGAAACATGTTTGTTACTGATCAAGGAAATAATCGAATTCAAAAATTTTTATTGATGAAAGATTCTTTTGGTAAGTTGAAGAAAAGCTGAATGAAATGAAGAGATGTGAATAGATTAATAACAGAAGTTAATAACGATATTTCAATATAAAAAACGATAAAAAACAAAAGTGGTTGAGAAAGTTGAACTAAATCAGTGTGTAAAAGAGTATATCTAAGGAAATGAAATGTTCAGATTAGATAGAGTGGTATGTCATTTGTATAGGATAAACAATTTTCGCCTGTTTTGGTGAGATCAAAGAATAAAGGAAGAAAATGTTCTGTCTTTAATGGAGTGGTAGAAAGGGCTTTCATGTTTTATTTCATTTGTCTAAAAGAATATTTCATCAAGTAAACAGTTTTTATTAAAATAAAATTTGATTATATCTGTGCCGATATAATTTTGATATAAATTATTCTATGATTTCACTTCATATTTCATATTTTGAAATGTTTAATTCAAAAAAAAATAGGACAAATAAAAAACCACAATTCTAACAGTTAATTTTTCTCCTTTTTTGTGCAAAATGAATTTTGTCATTGTTTTTCTTTGAGAGAGATAACTTTCAACATCAAATATTATAAGAAATGAATTTTCTCATAAAGAAATACTTGAATGATGAACTGTTCTTTGGATAGTTGTCAGAATATTTAGTTTCAGAAAGTAATATTAGGTAGCTGAAACAGGGACGTCCGCAGAGGGGGGATTGGGGGGATCGATCCCCCCCCCCCAAATTAAAATACCTGGGGGGGGGTACAGGGCGAAAAATTTTCAAAAGTTTGAAATAGCGTTTTTTAGTGGTGAACTTTCCTACAAAGTCGTCAATCCCCCCCCCAAAAAAAATTTCTGCGGACGTGCCTGAGCTGAAAGCAATCTCTGATGTGATATATGTAATTGTTAATGAGAGATATATGTTATTATTCCTATAGTTTTAAACAAAGAATACTTTCTATAAAAGAAAAAAATTGCTTATTTGATAAAATAAATTCTAATGAGCTGATTTTGAATAAAAATAATTTTTTGTTTAATCAAATTCATTTCTCAAAAATGATCAATAAGAAAAAGTGATTTTCAATCCAATCTGTTTTAGATTGTTCTTAAATGAAAAAATTTTCATAAGTTAACTGACAAAGTTTTGTTTACATTTCCAAAATTCAATGAAAAAAAGCTTTTCTGATTGATAAAAGATTTGTTAGTTGTACAAATATTTATTTTACTTTCTCTCGAAAATGTGTTGTTAATGATTGCTTTCGTTTTAAGAGATTTATTTTTCTTTCACATGAAAATAAAGATTTTCTTGTTTTGTTCTTTATTTCATAGGAAAAACATTGAAATCTGTAAAATATTATTAAGATTACAAAAAGATTTGTTTTATTTATATTAAATAAAGATGAAATGTTGTGATCTTTGATGAATCTTTGAGATTTCTTGAGATAAAAAATCTTCGTGCGACAATTTGTACAAAGAGCGTTTGTAGAGAGACAAGAGGGCTATTTGCGGGTCATAAAATCGTACTGTTTTTCTCTCTCATTTTTCTTTCCTTTTTCACTCAGTATCGATATGACATGTAATGACATTATTTTTTATTTCTTAATGAAATTAAATAAGATAAATCGAGTCATATTCCCAATAATTGAGACAACTGAAATAACATAGGGACAATTATCTTTTCCCTTTGATTTCTTCTCTAAATTAGCTTTAAATATTTATCAGAAAAGTGTTCGAGAAACTTTGAATAAATATTTGAAAATTGAAATTCATGTTTGAATAAATATTTCAAAAAAAAGGTCTGTAATGGTACGTCTTCACAATTATTTAAAAAAGATACCAACTTAATAATTAAAATTCATTAGAGTAAGGTGAACGAAATACTCAAAATTGTAAAGAAAGAGGTTTGATTGATAAAAATTTCTTCTTTTCTCTTGGTTATTTTTCGTTAAATAAATAATTTCTGTTGTTCAACTATTTTCTTTGATATATTTTATTCAGATCTTTCAAAAGAATTTCCAACAAAAAGTAATAATTTAAACGGAAATATTTTAACAATATTACAATTCATATCTCATAAAAAATTAATAAAAACCATTCCTAAAAGTAATGTTAACAAACATTTCTCAATGTTTTTTCATCAAAAAATTGTTTGAAGAAACATTCTTCTTCTTGTACGAATATATAAATGAACAATTTCATTTCATTTCTTTTGTAGTTCTTGTCTGATATACTTTCTATTTTTCTTGTTTTTAGCTCTTTCATATAATCAACCAAAGCTTTGTTCAGCAGCCTTTTGGTATTCCGATGGAATTACTTTGGCTAATCAATCGATTGTTGGCCGAACTCCTCGCGCCATTTTTGTAAATACAAACAACAAAATGTATGTTACTAATCTAGAAAACAACGCAATTCTAATGTGGGATGAAGAAAGTGACAATCCAACAAACATCATTTGTGGTAATTGTACAGAATCCTATTCTCTCTTCGTGACATCAAATGGTGATGTTTATATTGATGATGGATATGTGAATGGTCGAATGCAGAAATGGATAGCAGAAACAAATATCTTTGTCACAGTGATGAATATCAACTCATCATGTTATGGTTTGTTTGTCGATATCAATGATACTCTTTATTGTTCAATTGCTAGACATCATCAGGTAGTGAAAAGATTATTAAGTAGTTCTGTGATGGATTCAAATGGTGTTGCTGCTGGAATAGGTACTTCAGGATCACACTTTAGTGAACTTAGTGGTCCTCGTGGAATCTTTGTCGATGTGAATTTGGATTTATATGTGGCAGATTGTGGAAATAACCGTGTTCAGTTGTTCCAGTCGGGAGAACTAAAGGGCATCACAGTGGCTGGAAGTGAAACACTAAATCCAACAATTACACTTGATTGTCCAAGTGGAATTATATTAGATGCTGAGAAATATTTATTCGTTGCAGATCAAAATAATCATCGAATTGTTGGTTCGAGCTTAGGCGGTTTTCGATGTTTAGTTGGATGCTATGGAATGGGTTACCAATCTAATCAATTGAATTCTCCATCTAGTTTGAGTTTCGATCGTTCTGGAAATATGCTTGTTACTGATTTATTTAATGGTCGAATTCAAAAATTTAACTGTTTAAAAAAATTTTGTGGTAAGTTGGAGTATAAGCGAATGAGATGTGAATGTTGATAATGAAAAGTTGTATAGCATTCGTTAGAAAAAAACCAAAGTCGAAATTAAAACAAAAAAACTGTACATGAAACTTTTCTGGTAGAAAAAAATAAAATTGTGTAAATTAAATAATTAATTTTTCAAGAATTTTAATATAAAACTAGTATATTCATTTAAAATATGAAATTTCAATTAACTATAGATATTTTTGTTTTGAACATCCTCATTGTCAAGATATCAAGATAACTATCAGATCAGAAAAATCATCAAAGATTTTGCTTATTATTCAAAGAATAAAACAGAACTTCTTAGATGTTACGTCGAAACTATCTGATCGATGTAAACAGTATTATGTTCTATTTGATTGATTACGAGAAAAATTCTCACTTAAACCTAAGGATTTGGAAGTTTCTTTCTCTCTTTTCATTGGTCAGATTTTGTTTCGAATTTTTGAGTTTTATGTAAAAGTCAAACATTGTGCTGCGCATGTCGATTAAAGATTTCATCAGATTCTCTTTGATACTGTTCAATCTACATAATGTTTTCTCTTTTCAAAAACTCGAAGAACAAATAATATTACAGAATGAATTTAAATATTTTCCGGTTGAGAAACAGATTTTTATCCTTTTCACTACAAATTACCGGTATAATAGATTAGGGATGTATATTTAAAGTGAACAAAATTGTCTGTTCAAAAAGACTTGCATCTCTGTGCGCTCACGATAAACTTTAATTGATTTTTTATTGTTTATTTAGCCAATACTTCTGCGCCTCTACAAAAGACCTATTCATCGTCATTGACTAAAATCAATCAAATTTATTATCGAGATTGTGACAAACGAAACTTTTATTACGAATCCATTCGAGTGAAAGTGATCGAAACTGGTTACTACACTTTTCGTAGTAGTGGTAACATTGATTCATATGGATCTATTTACAAAAACAAATTTAATCCACTTGACCCATCAGAGAATTTCCTTAAAACAGTTGACGACAGCGATTCTGGTGCTCAGTTCAAACTTGATATTCAACTTGATATTGGCACGATATATGTATTGGTTGTGACAACATTTGATTCAAAAGAAACTGGAAAATTTTCGATCGATATGTTGGGTAAAAACAAAGTTATTCTCGAGCGTCTTAGTAAGTATATAGATATTTGTGCTATATATCGAATAATTCGTACAAAATATATAGTATATATTCTAAATTCAATTCCATCTTTTATTCTATACTTAGAGAATGTGCTGAACTCATGCTATCTAGTATTAAGGCATTTTCTAGTAAGATATCTGTTCTTGTGTTTTCTACCACTGTCTTACTAGCTGGATACTCTTCAGTTTCCACACATACTAAATAAAAAATGTTTTAGAAACAGTAGTCAACGGCACGTTTGGAAATACTTGACAGTTAAATGCTGAAAATCTAAAGAGCATCTTGCTGTAACTCAACACTTTCACATTTCTGTGACGCACTGATTTCAGAGTACTCACTTGAAGAATGTGAATTTGGTACATTTCCTAATCTCTTTTTGTAAAATTAAATCTTCGTAGAAAATCTCAAAGATTTCGCTTTCGTCAATCTTAGATAATAGTTTCATGAACGAATCGTTGTCTAACTATTTCTGTATTTCTATTCAATAGGTACTCCAGTAAATATGCAACTCAAATATTCATCAAAATTAACCGATGATAGTCCAACATATTATCGAGATTGTCAAGTACCACGATGTCACTATGAAACTTCACAAATTCATGTTAATACAACGGCTTTGTATGTTCTTTCGAGTGAAAACAACATTAATGCGTATGGATATATCTACAAACATGATTTCAATCCTCTGAAGCCACCTGAAAATTTACTCCTATCACATGACGGTAAATGTAATGATGGACAATTCAAATTAATCATTGAACTCGAGATTAACACTCGATACATATTAGTTGTGACAACACGCGATCCTATGATAATTGGGAACTTCTCTGTTTTCATCTCTGGCCCTAAAAATGTCAGTCTTAGTCCTTTTAGTAAGTATTTATATGATTTTTTCGATAACAATTATATAATAGCATAAAACACATGAAGAGAAGATTTTTTGTACTTTTTTTGATTAGTGAGCAGTTGTTATTTTAGGGTTTGAAATAATATCTATCGAGTTATTGAATTAAATAGTTCTCAGGATCTTGGAGTCGATTGATCTATTAGAAAAGACATCTGTTTAGCATGAATCATAAATAGATTTTCCAAACTTTGAATGTTACTACTTACATCCTTTTAAATCTTTATACACATGAAGTTTTCGAAGACTTGAAATCTTACAAAAGTAAAACTTTCTTCTATAATTTATTCTATTTCTCGAAATCAGTAGTGAAAGGTATAGATATATCAATATACTGAAGAACCATTTCATTCGAAAAACAAGTAGATTCCCAAAACTAAATTTCTTCATTACTCTCTTACCAAAATATATCCAATATTTTAGGTCCAGAACTAAGTAGTTGTGTTATCGGTGATCAATGTAACTTTTATCTCAAAGGGATCGGTTTGACTCTCGATGATATTTTGCATGATGAACTTCAACCGAATACAGTATTGAATAATCAATCATTTTCGATAAAATTAAGTGCGGGTTTAACAATAATTATGTTTGTCGCAGGATTAATCAATAGTATTCTTTCTTTTATTACATTTCAACATAAAGATTCTCAACAAGTTGGATGTGGAATGTATTTATTGGCATCATCGATTACTTCTCTTTTGGCAATTAGTATGTTCATAATAAAATTTTGGTTTGTTGTTCTTACTCATATCAATGTGTTTCCTAATCTATCTGTTCTTCGTGGAGGTTGTGCATCTATTGAACCAATTCTAAAACTTTTTCTCTACTTAGATGGTTGGCTTAATGCTTGTGTAGCAGTTGAACGAGCATTACTTATTTTTAAAGGAGTAAAATTTGATAAAAAACAGAGCAAATCTATTGCTCGACGAACAATTCTTATTTTGCCATTCTGTGTTCTCGGTACTATTATTCACGAACTCGTATTTCGCAGATTATTTGAATATGAAACAGTACCAGATACGATAGATACGAGTAAGACAAATGAAACCAAGCTATATGTATCATGCATCACTCAATATTCTCCTTCTGTTCAAGATTACAATACAGCCGTTCTATTTTTTCATCTTGTTGGTCCATTTATTGTTAATCTTTTCTCTGCATTATTTATCATCTTTGGAGGTGCTCATCAACGATCAACGGCACGAACTAACCAAAGTTTTAAAGAACATATTCAAGAACAATTCCGTGAACATAAACAATTGATCATTAGTCCAATAATTTTACTCATTTTATCAATACCTCGTCTCATCATTTCATTACTTCCTGGCTGTGTAAAAACATCTGAGAATTTGTGGTTGTATCTTGGACCATATTTCATTTCGTTTACTCCTTCGATGCTAATTTTTCTTATCTTTGTTGTTCCTTCAGAATTGTATATGAAAGCGTTTAAACAATCGTTCAATCGTATTCGACGTCGTACTCCTCCTTAATCAGTCCATTCAGTTCCAATAACATGACTATTATAATAAATACAAAAGACATTATTTATTTGTTTGCTTCTCGTGATGAATTAATCGATGTACTGTTGCATTTGAAAATCATGTTTGGAAAAAGATATTCGATACTTACTTATAGTTCGCTGTGGATAATCATCAATTGAAATAACAACATATTGAATGATAATGAATAGCGCAAACACAGAAAATGACTGTTATTCTATTTTTCGAGGGTATGGGTGTAGGTAATGAATGAGAAGAATACATACCCATACTCTTCTTTTATTTGTATAGTTGTAATTAAAAAATGAATATATGTTGAATATAGACGACTCATTACAAGAAAGAATATTAATACGTAGACATATATGATTGAATATGGAAGAAAAATTGAAATCTATTATAGATATGAATACTATTTATAATACGAAACTTGTTATTAAAATCTCTCTTATTTCTTAGCAGATATTTTGTTAAAATTCTTCAACATATTTTTGATGATTTAATAAATAAAAAGATATTCTATTACTATTTTATAATTTGTCTACTAAATTTTATATTCAATTATTAACATCTAAAATTTATTAATAATCAATTCTTATTGATTTTATATATCAAATCATTTAACCAGAACATATCACATAACTTATTCTCTAAAGATCACCATATTCAATTTTAATATTTCCGTTTTTTTTCTCCTATTGATATTTACATCGACTTGAAAATATTCATTTTTTTGGAAAATTAATAATCTTAAGAAAAATATCAGTTTCATCGGATCTTTCTCATTATATCAATATTCGTATAATTCAAACTTTATTATAATAAATCAAATATGAATAATAATATTATTGTTTTATTCAACTTTCATATATCCGATTTCTATGTTAATTATTTAATAATTATGATAAAATAATATTTTATTCTTCGAAACATTTATTAGATTTTCAAAGATCTTGTTTAGATGATATTCGTATAATAATAATATTGAACAAATTGTTTATTGTCTTCAACAAATATCATTCTGATTTCAATATAACACATTGATATATTGATTAGATTTTAATATGATAAAAATAATAATCAATATATCATATTATTCTTTATTCAATAATAAATAAAAATGAAAATAAATTTACTTATGTTTTTTAATTTAAACAATGAAATCAATTTTTATTAAATAATGATGGTTATTATGATATTTAATCATTTAAAACATTTTATTTAATCTTTTACAAATAAAAAAGTTTGATTTTATATTTTTCGTGTAAAAATTATAAACATTTTTTCAAACAAACATTCAATTTTCACATATATGTATATATAAGATAATGGTTTAAATTTATTTTAAAAGAGGTCATATCAAAACTTTTATAGAATTTATATGAAAAAATTCATTTTAAACAATATAGAATTTTTTCAAACTTGTTTTATATAATGAGAAACAGTTTTATTATGAATATATATTGAGATATATATAAAAATAAGTTTAGGAATATCCCTTTATATACAATACTTGCGTTTTCATGATTAAATCTGACTATTGTTAAAATTAAAGCTATTCTATCTTTATATTTTGAAAAAACTGACAAGATGAATCAATGAACAGCAGTCTCTCTCAATACTTAATTAGCAGCAACCGGACACATCTTTTTTTTTTTAACCACGCGCGCTTTCAAGCACTGTATCTTATTTATTTCTATAAAGTTTTCCTTTTTAAATTAAATTACTATATTTATCAATGTTTTTATTTTCAATAGATTTTCTTTTGCTGAACAATTTATTTGGTGAAAAAGGAATTCTTATTTATATCGAAATAACTACAAAACATCACAAGTTTAGAAATTCAATTCTTTGAAAAACTTTCATTTAGGTAAGTTTGGTTTTTGAAATAATACGAAACATGAGTGAGAAAGAGTAAGACACAAGAATTATTTTGCCAACGAAAGTGAACATGACAATGCAGTTGAGTGGATAAGAGATTGA